TCCATCATCCATAAATGGAAGAAGTTTTGAACCACCAGGACTCTTCCTAGAGCTGGCCGCCCAGATAACCTGAGTAAGGTAGAAGGGCCTTTGTCAAGGAGGTGATTGAACAACCTGACGGTCACTTTAGCTCCAGCGTTCCTCTGTGGATTGAGGAGAGCCTTGCAGAAGGATAACTATTCCTACAGCACTCTACCAATCAGGCTTGTGTCACCTGGCTACTAGTGAGGCATGGCCCTGTCGGCATCATGCTGTGGGGATGTTTTTCAGCAGCAGGAACTAGGAAACGAGTCGGTATTGAGGAACAATAATGTACTGAAGCACCCTTGATTATAACCTGCTCCATGGAAATCTGGAATATGGACTAGGCTGAGAGTTCATCTTCAAACATGGCAATGACCTTAAGCACACAGCCAAGACAGCACCCGAGTGGCTTTGGGAACACTGTGTGAATGTCCTTGAGCGCCCCAGCTGGAACCCAGAATTGAACCCAATTCAACATCCCTGGAGAAATCTGAAAACGGGTGTGCTCTGATGCTCTCAATCCAACCTGATGGAGCTTGAGAGGTTCAGCAAAGAAAAATGGAAGAAACTGCCCAACAACAGATGTGCCAAGCTTGAGGCATTATACTCAAAAAGACTTGAGGCCGTAATTGCTGTCGAAGGTGCTTTAACAAAGTAAAGGCTGTGAGTGCTTTTATAAATGTTATATTTATGTTTTTATTTGTAATAAATTTGCAAGAATTCTGTAACATGACACAACATGTGGTACAGGTGAAGCACTGGACACTTTCCAGATTCACTGTGTATTGTGCTAACATTGACATTTTTGATTAAAAAAATAATTGAATACTAATAGTGAAACATTAGATGAGGAAATGAAAAACAACAAATTGCTCCATTGATTTAACACATCCCAATAATTCCCTCAAAATATAATGGATTCAACCTGAGGCAAGTTAAATTGTATTTAATTGTATAAGATAATCCACATCGAAAACAGCACATCAGCTGAATTGCAAAGAAATGTGATGTATAAATCCAAAACGTATAGTATAAGCTAAGTGTGACCAATCCTGTTGCATTTCACATCATACCAACCACTGAAATATTAGTTGATGTTAATCCAAAGTTTAATGCAAGGCAGTTGTTCTAATGTAGTGGTCAAACCATGGTTGGGCTGCCATTCACTGCATTGTTTCCCTCAGTGGTGAACATTAGCTAGTGAGTCATTCTGAGTTCTCTGTGCTTCCGTGTTTTCTTTCCTGTGATTGAAAAAAAAATAGTGCCATCTCAGTGGTTGGATGAAGCATGTGGTTCGCTGAGTCACTTTTACTTTGTATCTATGACTGAGTGAGTAAGAGGATGAAGCCAAAGTCCATTGTTGCGTTGGCACATACCCATGCTGTTTAGCTTATTCACATCCTAAAAAGACTGATTTGACAGTCCTGGTGTTTTATTCCACTAGAATATAGATCAGTTCAGTTTTCAACTCTCTTTTTAAAAAATCTTTTTTTGTCTGTTGTGGAAGTATAATTAGGGCTGTGCTATATGACCCAAATCTCATATCCCAATATATGACATTTCTCATCCCGATAACAATATACATCACAAAATTCTGTCAATTCTGTGAATCTCAGGC